ATTCTTCAGATTTTGAAATAAAAAAACTATAGATTGAAGTTAAAAAACGGTTCATTTAGCGCTGGCAAGCTGGGTCCTGAGGAGCTTAGCAGCCGAGACCATGTTTTCGAGAGCAGGCTTAACCTCAGCGTACTTACGGGTCTTGAGGCCACAGTCAGGGTTCACCCACAATATGTTTGTCTCCAGAACAGCAAGCATCTTGTTTATCCTGTCTGCAATTTCTTCAGTTGATGGGATTCTTGGGGAGTGAATGTCGTAAACGCCGGGCCCGATTCCAGCACCATACTTGACTCCCTCACGGAAAACCGAGAGCAGCTTCTCGTCCGAACGAGAGTTCTCGATGGTGATGACGTCAGCATCCATGTTGATGATGGAGTGGATGATGTCGTTGAAGTTCGAGTAGCACATGTGGGTGTGGATCTGTCGTTTACCGACCCAAAACAATTATTTAGCAAAAGAAAATGTTAAAATTGGCCCAATTGCAAAAATGATTAGTTTGGGATTTCGAGCGACATTATGAGACTTTTTAAAATTTGAGACTTCAAGATTTTGGAGGAATTCTATTGGAATCTCAAGTCCGGAGGAGGTGGAATTTGGAGTGAAATTTCGTATAAAGTTTTTTCTTTTGAAATCCCAACAAATCTTAAAAGTCTTCAAAAGTCTAAATTAAATACACCAAAATTTCTAAAATTTTAAAAAGTCTTTAGAAATCCCAAATGAATACACCTCAAAGTTTAATTCGACATTTGATTTCCAATTTCGGGTGAAAGGAGAAGAGAAAAAGCACCTGGGTGGTATCCTCGACACCAACATTGGTGATTCTGAACGAGTGCACAGCCCAGTCCAAGTAGAACGCGTGTTCAGCCTTCCTAAGCGGCAACCCTTCTCTCAATGCAGCCTCGTCGATTTGGATAACTGTGATTCCAGCCTTCTCAAGATCCTCCACTTCATCCTTAATAGCCAATGCAATCTGGTAACACGTCTCAAACCTGCGAACAATGAAACAAACACATAATTATCATTACGCCATTAGAAGAAAGAAACAAAATTCCAATAAAGAGGGAAATTACAGAGAAAGATTATAAATGTACCTGGGTTGGTCATTTCTAACAAAAGACCAGTTGAGAATGGTGACGGGACCCGTAAGCATTCCTTTCATCGGGCGCTTGGTCATGCTTTGGGCAGTAGTGGACCAGAAGACAGTCATCGGCTTAGGGCGGCTCACATCACCATATATGATTGGTGGTTTCACACAACGAGAACCGTAGGATTGCACCCATCCGTTGGCGGTGAAGGCAAAACCGGACAGTTGCTCACCAAAGTATTCAACCATGTCATTTCTCTAAAAATTCGTACATTCAAATATATTGGTCCAACAGATACACGCCAAAAAACCAGAATGCAAGTCGGCTTAAATTCATCATTGCCAATAACGAGTAAACTATTTAGGCTGTGTTTGGTAAACATATAAGCTAGCTTATAGCTTATTTGATTAGAATATATGTTTCATGTATTCAAATAAACTTGGTTTGGTAGGACGAGCTTTTCTAAAAAGCTCGAGCTTATCTCATAAGCTTCATTGGGTATCTTTTTAAATAAGCCCATTGAAATTTTTATTTCAGGTAGCTAGCTTATCAGCTAATTTTACCAAACACTTCTATCATATAAGCTAGCTTTTTAGCCATAAGTCAGAAGCTATCAACTAATAAGCTCGAAATTCACTTAAAAGCTACAACCAGGTTTTCCAAATATTGTCTTAGTTTTATTATTTCTATCACAAATTAAGAAAACAATTGCTTACCTCTGGCTCCCCATGAACAAGAACATCGATATCAAGTTCTTCCTGTAGCTTGACAACCTTGTTGATCTCCTCCTTGATAGAATTGATGTATTCTTCCTCCGAGATTCTACAATACATATAAATATATATATATATATATATATCTTTAAAATCCGCATCTATGTGCTTGAATAAAGATTACAACAAGCAAAATTAATACACTCACTTCTTGGCTTTGTACTCACGGCGGACCCTCCTGAGCTCAACAGTCTGAGGGAAAGAACCAATTGTGGTAGTGGGAAGGATTGGAAGGTTAAGCTTCTTCTGTTGAGCATCGAGTCTGGCGCTAACATTTGTAGCACGACGGTGATCAGAGCCTTGCAAGGCCGCAGCCTGGCCGGACAAAAGCAAAATAGCTGGTAAGTACATTACTTATACATTGATTTTCCAAAAACCCTGAAATGCAGATAAAATCACTTACAGCCTTTTGGACAGCTTCATTAGTCACCCTGGGAGAGGATTTCCTCGAAGCCTGAGCCGAAGCATTGGCAGAGAAGAATGCCTGAAATTCAATAACCGCAGCAAAATGTAAATCTTAGTAATAATGTAGGCAAAATCAAAATGACCCTACAAATTGCGAAGTGATTATTTACGATTCTAAAATGTTATGGACTCAATTAACACGGCGTTAGTTGTGAAATCTACCTCGTCCTTTGCACCAGATAATGCTTTAGCCAAAGCATTCACTTCAACAACCTTTTGTGCAGCAAATGCAAGCCACGACTTAATCTCCTGGTCAAGCTTAGGCTCATTCACGAGATCGACGGCGGTGTGGAGAAGTGAGCAGGATGTAGAGATAACAAGCTTATCTGCACAAAGGAATCGAATAAAAATGAGCCACTCATTAAATTAAGGGGTGATTATAAAACAAAGTGAGTTTCAAGTTCAACAATTAAGAAAGCAGCGAATTGTAAGAATAACAAATAAAACCCTTGAGATTTGATTTTATTTTGTATTTTACTCCTTCCATAAGAAAAAAGAAAAATCAAGAACCCTCATTGTACATGTCAACTGCAATATTTACCCCCCATTTGTGTATGCAAGTCATAATCAAATATAACACTCGAAAGACCTTTGGTAATTGTTGAAAATCTCTAGGCGAGTTCATAAATGCCTCAAACCTTGATGTTCTTGCAGGTATCCTAAATTTAAATTAATCTTAGATCCAGTAAATAGATGTTAGCCAGTATACCTTTTCCAACTATGCCTTCAAGAGACTGCAGAGTAGCAAGAGAAGCAGCCAGATCATTAGCCCAGATGTTCCTTCCATCAACAACTCCAGCAAAGAGGTACTTCCCGGAAGGAAATCCACCCTTGATCAGATCAACGGTCTGGGTGCCACGAACCAAATCAAAACCGAAACCAGAAACAGCACTCAGAGAGGTAAGAGTTTTGTATGCAGCTGCTGGCACATCTGCAAAGTAGGTCTCGATCAGAACATTAAGGCCAGACAATGATGATTCGAGCTCAGCATAAGCCTTGGTGAATGCTTCCAACTGGTGAGATTCAAGGTCCAAAACAAGGGTGGGCTCATCAAACTGGATCCATGAAGCACCTGCTGCCTTCAGCTCAGCAATAACTTCCCTGCCAGGATGTCAAGTATATTTAAGTACCAAGTGCAATCATTATGTAAATGGTGTAAACATTAAGTAATTGGAAGCATTTTCTCACTTGTAAATCGGGAGAATTTTGTCAAGAAGTGAAAGAAGAGGGAAAGTCTTCTCAACACCCTTGGCAGGTTTGGATAGCAACAAGTATGTAACTGGGCCGATAAGTACTGGAACTGTATCAACACCAAGCTGCATGAGTAAAAGAAACAGAAGTTTGTCAGAGCCGATAGTACTCAATAATTGCTCAAACTGAAAAGTATTTACTGTTAAATTAAAAGAAATCAAGAATTTTATTAATCGATTTTCTTAATAAAACAAAACTGGGAATCAACTTATTCATACTGTTTAGATCCAAAACAGAGGAAGAAAGTTACAGGGCACATACCGCTTTAGCTTCATTGTATTCATTAACTGCCTTGTGTGAAGCATAAGAGAACTTTACATCAGGGCCCAATTCAGGGACAATGAAGTGGCTGCATTAATAAACAATTGAATAAACATCACAATTGTAGGGCAACCAAACTTCTTTAAGACATGAGCCATTACTTACTAGTTGGTGTCGAACCACTTGGTCATCTCCATAGCAGGAACAGAGGCATTTCCTCTGGCCATGGAGAAGTAGGTGGAGAAGCCAATCTCACCACCATTCCAGCTGTATCTTGGCGGGACTGCACCAAGCATCGCGGTTGTGTCAAGCACCTGATCATAGTACGAGAATGTGTTGCTCGGGATGTACTTGATCCCAGCTTCAGACATCTGTTTCCAGATGGATGCCCTAAGGTCAGCCGCCACCTTTTCCAAGTCACTGGCGCTGCTCTTTCCATCCCAAAAGGATTCCAGAGCGAACTTCAGTTCTCTCTTTGGGCCCATACGTGGGTATCCAACAATGTGGGATGCCATTTTTCTAGCAAAACAAAGCCAAATCAGACACATCTCAGCAAGTCACCCAAAAAAAAAAAACAAACTTTAAATAATATGCCGACTGTCAAGAAAATAGACAACGACCACTAAAATTGGATCTTAAGTATTCAGTTTGAGTTAGCTGTCTCCATACAACGATCGGATAAAGTAATTGGCATCCTAGTAAACAAGACAAGTATCCCAACTTATGTTCACTTGCTACTTGTTTTTCCATCTAGGCTGCTATAAGAACATCAATTAAGGATCAAACTTCATCGACATGCTCATTCACTAAGGAGTAAAGGGATCCAAATAAATCATATGCAATCATGAATTAGGGAAAAAAAAACGTGCATGGCTGAGCTACTCAAGCTAAGCATTGAGATGCACATATAAACAAATGAACAATCATTGTCACAATAGAAACAAAAGAAATCAACATCCGAAGGTTAAAAATATAGTACATGCTCGTTACACGAACGTGCGACGCAATGCAAACTGACTTCACTGAAATAAACACACTGAACAGCCTCTTGATCTCAGATCTAATCGGAACAAAAATCCTAAACCCAGATCTGGAATAGTTCAACGAACCAACACATGCCATTTTTTTTAATCTTATCCACACAATCCAATTCAGCCATTCACGGCGTACATGAACAGCATGAACTACACAGGCCTAGTGAGCTGATCCAGCACAAAAACAGGGACAATAACAAGAGGAAAACAGAAGCCATGCTTACATCACCGAATCAGTTGGAATCGGACATTTATCAATAGATCCAAAGCAAATCAATGCGCAGAAACTCTACATATACAGTTAAAAAAACTGATAGGAAAAACCGAGTACGATTGAAATGTAAAAGGCAAGAAAGTGTGTCAGTTTAACAAGAGGCTATGAACATAAATAGACTGCGATTGAGAGGGCAAGCGTACCTTGAGGAGAAGTGAGGCTCTACGCAGAGCGCGGGTTTCTGGTAGAGAGGGAGAGAGAGAGAGAGAGAGAGATGCGAGTTTAGGATAGTGATGAAGTGCTATTTATGCAAGATGAAATGGTACTGGGGCGTCGGGGGTTGGTAGATCTTGGAAAATGTGATTTCTTTATTCTTTCTTTTAAGCTTTTTATATTAGACCGTCATAATTAGGAGTGGTTAAACCAATCTAGCAGTTCGAGCCGATCTCCATAATTTAAAGTTTATTTAGTTAACAAGTTGAGGCTCTAACTCATCTGGTTAAGATTCGAAAATAAATAAAAATAGTTTGACTATTTAAGACTCGAGGTCGATTCGTTAATATTGATAAATTGATTAAATACGAACTTGATTATCGACTTGTTTAATTAACGAGTTTAGCTCGACTTGTTAAAGGGAGCTCGAAGTTGGTACGACTCGTTTACACTTTTAGTCATACTTTATCAATAAAATATATTATAGCATTAAATTAGAATATTATATTTTAAAAAACAACTTAAACAATATGACATTTCATAATATTGGTATGAATTTTTATTGAAAAACAAATATAACGAGTCGACCAACTCTAGGGATCATGTCGTCTTACTCAAGAATTTGTGATATATTTATATTAGATTAATGTTTTATGAAAATAACAGTAGTTTACTTTTTCAGTTTATTACAAGAATGTTGTACTTTTTACTTTTTTTTTTTAAGATCATGTAAAAAGTTTTATTAACCTTATTTTGTAAGCTTATGCTTTTTATATATTGAATAAAAAAACTATTATCCATCATTTTTACCAATCATTTGTTTTTTTTAATTATTAAAACGTTTAATTTTAAATTCATAAATTTGAAAACATAATTGAATAAATGTATTTGTTTTTAAAATGTGATATTACATTGTCATAAATATATTCTAAGGGGTGTATTCAATTGAAATTTCTAAATAATTTTTTAGATTTTATAATTTTTTGTGTATTTAGTTTAGACTTTTAAAAGTCACATTCATTTGAGATTTTTAAAAATTAGACATAATCCTGAGTTATTTAACTTATTTGAGAATTGAGACTAAAATATGTTAAGACTTTTTAAAATTTGCTGAATTTCAAAAACAATTAAAAAAAAGAAAAAGAAACTATATACAAAATACCTCTTTAAATTTCACCTCCAAATGTAAGATCTTAAAGATTTCACCTCAAAACTTAAGATTCACATATTCCTCATAGATCTAAAAATTTAGAAATGTCACTAAAAATTCTAAAGAATAGACATTCCTGCGTGTAAATTAGACCATCTCCAGTCCTCTATTCTACTCTAGTGTAGAGTTTACTCTACTCTGAAATAGAAAATGTCAAAATTTAACTTTCATCTTTAGTCGTTCGCGCTATATTTTACTCTACATGAAATATATTAATACAAAAAAATAAATACACCAATAAAATCAAAATTTAAATTTTTTAACAAAATAAATAATTTTATTAATGTATATTTTGTTAAAATAATATATAAAATAAAAATCAACTAAAAACAAAATAAAAATTGATAAAAAATTGTAGCGCGATAAACAGTGTCGCGCTACATGTAGCGCGGTACTGTTCATATCTTCAGAGTAGTACGAAAATGTAATGCAAGCTAATTTTTCGCACAACTCTGAAATAGAGTAGCATTGTAGCGCAATATTAGACTTGCACTTTATGTCCAGATATTTAGGTGGAAAGGTACCATAAAAAAAGGGGAGGAATACGAAGTTGGTGGGCACAGTTGGTGAAATTGTGCCATGTTGTAGTTCCTTGAAAACTTAGGGCGTGTTTGTATATAAATATATCCGATCAAAATGATTTTTTTTTTTGTTAACCAGAGTTAATATATTTTGAATAAAGTGGTATGATAGTTGTTTGTAAGATTTTGATTTTATAATAAAATAATATTTAAAATTAAATAATTAAAGTTAATTTGCCGTAAAAGTATGAGAGACATGGTGTGAAGTCACTACAAGAAAATGATGAAATTCCAACGGAAATATATTCAAATAGAATTCCAACCACAATTCCAATGGATATTTTTCAATGCTATTGTGTACGTTGGAATTTTTCAATTGATTCCAATGGAAATTTCAACCAAAATATTCCATTGGAATGAGTTTTCCATTGGAATTTTTGTTGAATTTTGACGATTCCAACTGTAGATTTTCCAACGGAGGTGGAAATAAAAATTCCAACAGAAATTCCTATGGTAAAAATCATAGAAAATTTAGCCGTTGGAATCATTAAATTCCATTGAAAATTTCAATATAAAACATATTCCAATGAAATATTGTCGTTGGAATCATTCCACTGGAAACTATACCATTGGAATATCCGTTGGAATATAACAATTTTTTATAGTGAGTAATAATTAGTTAAAATTATGTGAGTGGATGAATAGTAAATTAAAGTTGATGTGATGAGTAAGAATGATTGGTTGATATTATTGAATTATATTGATAATATTGAAGATAGTGGAGTTGGGTTAAGGTTGAGCTAGATTTTGAGTATGAATTGAATATGGATTGAGTTTTTTTTTTTTTACATACAAACACACTGCTACAATAATGTATACATAGGTGTTAATTAAAAGAAAAAATTATAACCAAAAAATAAAATATGGAATAAAAGTGTTTATTTTATTTTTTTTTTCGGTACAATTTATTTTAAAATTTTTAAATATCTTAAAACTTGCATTACTATTTTGTATTACGACTATGGTGGCCTGTAGAGTAGAAAACTAGTTTGGTCGGGGTAATTAACAGTGATTTCTGGCGGTGCTAATGAGACGACGCTCTCTATGCCAGAGGCTTAGGGCTTATATTTGGGTTCGAACTTCATCTCTGTCAAATTTGCTTATTCTATCAAGTTTGGACCGAAACTGTAAATTTGGTATTCTCAATTTTGTCTTTGGTATTAGAGATTGACTGTGTGTTGGGTCGTGAGGCAGTAATACGATGGGTTGGTTAGAAGCATGCAGGGAAGAATATATATAGTGTTGTACTCTATTAGTATTAATTAATGTATTGCATTTCTTTTCTCCAATCTCATACATGTAAAATTTACAAGATTATGCTGCAGTAACATGATAACTAACATAAAATTTGGGGAAATTTGATATAATACATTTTATGATTTTACAATTCATCACTTTAATTTTAAAAATTAACAATTCATATACAATTAATATGCTTACCCATCATGTCAAAAAATAATGTTAAAATAACTTTATTCATTATTAGTTATTACATCACCGGTCACCACCTCGTAAAATAAAATCAGAACACAAATTAACCAATTATTCTATAGTTTAACAACTGTATATGGCTATATGAAGCAACCATTATTCTAACAACCTCATTTGGAGCACATTCAAGCAAAGGTCCATATGCATAATTGATAATCCACCTGCAAATGATCATAAACCAATACTTAAAATCAAAATGTGGCTAATCACTAATGAACAATGCATGTATATATATTTTAAATAATCAAGAAATACAACGCAAAATAATCGTCATATTGTTCAATAATACCTTACATTTAATCACTGTCACTACCGCTGCTACTATGGCCATCATGTTCGTCTCCGTGCTTCTTTTTCTCTTTTTTCTTCTTTTTCTTCTTTTCTTTATCGTCTTTTTCATGATGCTCGTGATCCTCCCCGTGAATCTTCTCCTTCAGCTTATCCGAAAAAGACTCGTCCTTTTCATGCTTTTTCTCGCCATGCGACTCGCCAGTCTCGTGCTTTTTCTCGTTGTGTTTTTTGGCATCTTTGTGATCTCCAAACCCAAGAGCGTCTTCTATCTTATCTATGATGCCTGACATTTTTGTTTTCCAATTGAAATATAATGAAAGAAAATTGTTAATGATCTAGCTAAAACAAATTCAAAAAGAAAATGAATCTAAAGTATGGTGAAAAATGGTGTAAAGGGTCCAAAACTACTTATAGGCTAAGGAAATGGATTTTCTTTCTAAATATACCTGAGATTGTCCGCAGGATTAGGGTATATATAGTTGCTATTGGAAAAACGGTACTTAATCAGTTGGTCTTTGAGAAATGGTCTCACACACGCACAACGTATACAGATACATTTTTGTTTTTATGCCAATTTTGAATATGAATTATAAAATATAATGATGCACATCCTATTTTCACTCAATTATCACGAATTATTTTCCTTGAAATAGTTAAAAAAAAAAAGAAAAAAGAAAAATGTATTTTGCAAGGTATTATTAACCTTAATTGACAAAAATACACAACTTGAGTGTGTACAATACAAACCCAAATTTAATATACTAATTGGTAAAAATATAAAAGAATCCATATTATTAACCTTATCACAGGTTGAATGTTCACCAACCAAAATTTGAACGTGTGCAGAAAGGGATGGAAAATTGAATGGGACAAACAAATTTCGATTAAGGTGAGATTTTGTAGATATGTCCCTTTACATGGGTGAATCCAATGTCGATTAAATGGAAAATTGAATGAGACAAACGAATTTCGATTAAGGTGAGATTTTGTAGATATGACCCTCTACATGGGTGAATCCAATGTCAAATCAATCGAACAAAACAAACTACGGATAGTGTCGAATTAGGCTTGACAAGGAAGTCAAAATTACTTTGGTAAAAAAAATTAAGTGAACAAATAACTCGATTGTGCTGCAATTTTGTGAGTACTACAAACAACATCAATGAGATTTTGTAGATATGACCCTCTCCATGGGTGAATCCAATGTCAAATCAATCGAACAAAACAAACTGTGGATAGTATCGGATTAGGCTTGACAAGGAAGTCAAAATTACTTTGGTAAAAAAATTAAGTAAACAAATAACTCCGATTGTGCTGCAATTTTGTGAGTACTACAAAACAACATCAGTGAGGTCTAATAGGTCACATGGCATAAGCGGATGACACCGACATGACCATTGACCCCCCACAAAGAGAATAACATTTGAGCCTTAATTATTTTGAATGGAAATAGAAAAACGAAACTCTGATCAGGTTGACAGTTTGTCGCTACAATCGAGACGACAAATTCAAAGGTGAGTCCCTCAACTAAAAACAGACACTAGATGACACCATGAATAAGCCATATAGATAACATCGTAAGTTATTTTGGATGAGTAATGCTATAGAGCCTACTTGGATGACAACTTGGGTTACAACTTAAGTGTAAATCTATTATTTTTTACTTTTTTGATAATGCATTTACACTTGTATTGTAACCCAAGTTGTCATCCAAGTAGGCTAAATAGCACTACTCATTTTGGATAAAAAAATGAGTATGAAAATGAATTTTATTTGACTAACATTTTATGGGTACGACCATCTTAATAAAAAATAATTTGATGTTAGGTTACTCAAAGAATATGAACATTGGACCACACCACTACACCGCAATTAGGCTGAGCCCTAATCCTTTTTAAGTTGTTGACTAATCTCTTTAACATGGGGATCGAAAACACATTATTAGAAACGCATTTCAGAGCTTGAGGCAAGGAAATTCGTAATAAGATGAGTTGATTTTCGAGCGATCGGCCACAAGGACGTTGGTGGATATCAACAAATTATATTTATATTATTTTTAACTTATAACAATAAATAAAATAATAAAAATAAATTATTTATATGAAAATTTTATTTTAATAATATTGTATTTTATTATAAATATTTATCGCATAAATATATGCATTATTTTACTTGTAAAAATAAATAAGTAAAGAAACAAAAAAATATTTAATGACCAAATCAAATCGAGTCGACTCGACCGGTTCGACCGGATTTTGATCAAGTCCCTTGCTATCCGGTCCAAACTGTCCCCGAACTGATCCCAATCCCAAGTCGACTGGGTCCTGGATCGACCCATGGGGCCGATCCGGGTATCA